ATCAGGAGAGATGGCTTCTATGTACCAGTACAGCTCAGATTACCTTCACATCCTTACTGCATCACTCACTTCAGCCACATAGAAATTCATGAAATCACTGTGCTGCCTTATTCTGCAGCAAATTGCATGCACTATTGCCTCTGTCTTGGGCCAAGCGTGTTTCTTTCTAGAAAGTTAACCTAAATGCCTTCTTTCTAGCTAGCAAGCCTCCTTGGTCTTTCAAGTATCTTCATGCTATCCCTTTCAAGGTCCAAGTATTTTCTCCTTTAAAAAATTTATTGACACTATGTGTTTTCACTAATGGAAGGCATGCTGGTTCAAGGACCAGTTCAGAATTTTTGTTATGAGCTATGAATTTTGATACATATTATGTGGTATCACATATGACACAACTGACCCTGGAGGTAGTAAAGATGGACAATATGAGTCAAGGATAAAATTGTTTCATTTTACTTATTGAAAATTTGCAAAACATGAGGTAATACATGAAGACACCAATGACTGCACATAAATTTCATTCTACTCTCCTTCTTCTTAGCCTTCTTATTATTTTTCATGAAAATTTTCAAAACATGGTGCAATACATAAAGGCACCTGACAATGCCTGCACATAAATTTTGTTCTAGTCTGCTTCTTCAGAGTGCTGCATTCTCTGCATCACCTTCTAGATGCGTTGACAGGATAATGCTGTCTTTCTTTTTCTTGACCTGTACCTTATCAGGCACTTCACTTAGTCCTGGATTGTACATCACCAGAAATGAGGGTCTACCTCTTCTCTGCCTTTTCCAGCATGCAGAAAGCTGCCTATTGAGAGCAAACCCAAAGGATAGTTGGTCACATTTTCCTTCATTAATAGTGTTCCACATTGTAAAACTAGTTGTTTGTTCTACAAAACTAGGATAATAACTATAGCATAACCTCTAAACAAATATGAGAATACACAAGGGGAAAAGTATTGCCTAAGACAAGCCTGCTTTCCTAATAAATACAACCGAAGAAATTTGTATTTCAGGAAAATTGGCGCTACTATGTATTCTAAGCTATAATGAAAGCAGTACTAACAGCTAATAAGCAAGAACAGCAGCTCTGGAGTAGTACAGCACTGCTCACAGCTGTGCATTCCAGCTGCTACACATGAAAGCAATGATTGGGGCCTCAGAATGAATGTGGGGTAAGAATAACTTACAGGAGTTTGAGTCTCTTGAAAAGTACCACTGCAATGTATTATTTCATATTGCAAAGGCATTACTCACTGTTCAGAATCAAGAAAATCAGTCCTGGAAGTTTGCAGAGCAACAACTCAAAGCTGAGCAAGGATACAGTAATGCCTGGAAGCAATGCATCCGGGAAAAAATTGCAACTATGAATCAATGAAAACTGGTGTTGTTAGGTGCCATCGAGTCAGTTCTAACTCATAGTGACTGTATATTCAACACAACTAAACACGGTCCAATTCTGTACCATCCTCACAATGGTTGTTATGCTTGAGACCGTTGTTGCAGCCACTGTGTCAATCCATCTCATTGAGAGTCTTCCTCTTTTTTGCTGATCCTCTACTTTACCAAGCATGATGTCCTTCTCCAGGGACTGGTCCCTTCTGATAACATGTCCAAAGTATGTGAGATGTAGTCTTCTTGTACTTCTTCCGAGACAAATTTGTTCATTCTTTTGGCAGTCCATGGTGTATTCTATATTCTTCTCCAACACCACAATTCAATGGCATCAATTCTACTTTGGTCTTCCTTATTCATTGTCCAGCTTTCGCTTGTATATGAGGTGATTGAAAACACCATGGCTTGGGTCAGGTGCACCTTAGTCTTCAAGGTCACATCTTTGCTTTTTTAACACTTTAAAGAGGTCTTTTGCAGCAGATTTTCCCAATGCAATGCATCCTTTTATTTCTTGACTGCTGATTCCATGCGTGTTGATTGTGGATCAACATGAAAACCTCCACAACTTCAATCTTTTCTCCGTTTTTCATGATGTTGCTTATTGGTCCAGTTGTGAGGATTTCTATTTCCTTTATGTTGAGGTGTAATCCATGCTGAAGGCTGAGGTCTTTGATCTTCATCAGTAAGTGCTTTAAATCCTCTTGACTTTCAGCAAGCAAGGTTGTATGATCTGCATAAAGCAGGTGGTAATGAGTATTCCTTCAATCCTGATGCCCCATTCTTCTTCATATAGTCCAGCTTCTCGGATAATTTGCTCAGCCTACAGATTGAATAAATATGGTGAAAGAATGCAATCCTGACATGCACCTTTCTTGACCTTAAACCATGAAGTATCCCCTCGTTCTGTTTGAATGACTGCCTCTGGATCTATGTGAGGTTCCTTATGAGCACAATTAAGTGTTCTGGAATTCCCATTCTTCACAATGTTATCCATAATTTTTTATGATCTACACAGTTAAATACCTTTGCATAGTTAATAAAACACAGGTAAACATCTTTCTGGTATTCTCTGCTTTCAGTCAGGATCCACCTGACATAAGCAATGATATCCCTCATTTTACGTACTCTTCTGAATCTGGCTTGAATTTCTGGCAGTTCCCTGTTGAAGTACTGCTGCAACCACTTTCGAATGATCATCAGCAAAATTTTACTTGTATGTGATATTAATGATATTGTTTGATAATTTCCACATTCAGTTGGATCACCTTTTTTTTGAATAAGCATAAATATGGATCTTTTCCAGTTGGTTGGCCGGGTAACTGTCTTCCAAATTTCCTGGCATAGACGAGTGAGCACTTCCAGCTCTGTATCTGTTTGCTGAAACATTTCAGTTGGTGTTTTGTCAATTCCTGGAGCCTTGTTTTTCAACAATGCCCTCAGTGCACCTTCGACCTCTTTCTTCAGTATCATCAGTTCTTCATCATATTCTATCTCCTGAAATGGTTGAACGTGACCAATTCTTTCTGGTACAGTGACTCTGTGTATTCCTTCCATCATCTTTTGATGCTTCCTGTGTCGTTTAAGATTTTCCCAGCAGAATGCTTCAGTATTACAACATGAGGCTTGAATATTTTTCTTCAGGTCTTTCAGCTTGAGAAATGTTGAGTGTGTTCTTCGCTTTTGGTTTTCTATCTCTAGGTCTTTGCACATTTTATTATAATAATTTACTTGGTCTTCTTTAGTCACCCTTTGAAATCTTCTGTTTAGTACTTTCATTTCATCATTTCTTCTGTTTACTTTAGCTACTTGATGTTCAAAAGCAAGCTTCAGAGTCTCTTCTGACATTCATTTTGGTCTTCTCTTTCTTTCTTGTCTTTTTAACGACCTCTTGTTTTCTTCATGTATGAATTTTGGATGTCATTCCACAATTCGTCTGGTCTTCAGTCATTACATCTCACGAGAACAAAGTAACCAGGAAATACAGTAAGGAGGCTTATCTCACAGAAATAAAGGCAGAAAAGTAACAAGTTTAGAAAATTCACACATTCAGGATGTATTACCTAATAAAATGCTCAATATACATAATAATAAGGCTCCAACTCTGGTTTCCTTAGTTTCACATATTTCAAAAGGCACTCATCTTGAGGCTAAATGCAGTAAAACCCAGATACCATCTTACCAAAGAACTCCATAGGCTTACAAAGTAGGTAGTCAACCATATATTCCACAGAGCATGAAAGGGATTTATGCAGTCCTAAAATATATAATGTAGAAGTAAAAATGTTTGTGTGTACTCCCCAGAAGATCTCGAGGTTAAATTGCATTAAGAAAATGAACTTTCAGAATAAATCCTTCTTTGAGATCTTGCTCTGTCTCTTACTATTGATGTTGTGTGCTGTCAAGTTGATTCTGACTCTTAGTGACCCTATAGAATATAGTAGAACTACCCCATAAGGCTTCCTAGTGTTGTAGAAAAGAACTTGAATGCTGCTTAAAGTTAAAACAGAGAGGTTTATTAAGGGTTTAAAACAGTTGCAACTGGAGAACTTGAAAATGGAACCAGGTAGTCCTGGGGCAGTTTCTTTATACAAGTAATCTTATGGGGTAAAAAGAAGAATCAAACCATAGGGAGGGCAATTACAGGAAAATCAATGAATATTGTAATAATCATACTCTGATTGGTTACTGATTATTAATAGCATAGTTAGTGATTACAAATATAGTTTCACAGGATGCTTAGATCATGGTCACAGGATGCTTACATGTATTTTCTTTATCTATCTTGCAAAAATATGTTGGCAACAGCACTCTTCCTGAGTACATATATTTTGAGGGGTGCAGATGGTCACCCAGTTAAGACCCTCGGGGCATATGGTTTCACATCCTGGTTTTGACCACAGAGGAAAAGCATGTTTTCCTCAAAAAACACAGCTGTTAGTCTAGAAATCCAGATTAAAATTAGATAGCATAGTCAGCATATTATGTCTCTGTCTCATGGACTGCAATGAAAGTTGTCTTTTCCTGAGACGCTAGGCTGTAATCTTTATGGGAGTAGATTGTTATGTCTCTTCTCTCACAGAGCCACCAGTGGGTTCCAACCCCTGACCTTTGGTTAGGGCTGAGTGCTTAACCATTGGGCAATATAATATTGGGCGATTTATTTAACCTCTCTGAGTTTTTGTTTCCTCATATATGAAACAGGATATTAATAGTACTCTAAGTCATGTAATTACTTTGGATCTTAAACGTGATGAAGTTTGTCAAAATTTAACTCAGCATCCTGTCATATAGAAAGCATCAAAGAAATATGTTATTAGTAATAGTATCATGTTATTATTATTTATATTTATTGTAATTTGCAGTATTTGTTTTAGTTTGTTTATAGAAAATTTGAAGAAGAAGATGTTGCATGGATCAAAATCCTGTGGCATTCACCCAAGAATTAAACATCTTTGGCATCCTTAAGGGGTTTGAACTTATCAATTCACAATATATTAACACGACAATCATTAATAAACATCTCATACAGATACATGCTATAGGTTTTAGAAGCATTTTAGGCTCTGGCCCAGTTGCTCATTGGTATTGAAACTATCCTTTGAGATTGGGTCACTGAAATAGGAATTTTGTGTCTATTAATTTCTGGAAGGCATCCTTTACATCTTTGTTCCTCAGGCTGTAGATGAGGGGGTTCAGCCTGGGGTTGCCCACTGTGTAGAATACAGAGGCCACTTTGACTATTTGCTGAGAGTTTTTGGAATTAGGCACACAGTAGAGGGACAGGATGGTCCCCTGAAAGATGGTGATGGCGGTCAGGTGGGAGGCACAGGTGAAGGCTTTGTGGCGTCCACTGGCAGATTAGATTTTTAGTACAGTTACAAAAATAAAACCATATGAAGTGAGGATGATTAGTAGTGTACTCACCTCATTGAAGGTGACAAACCCAAAAAGCAAAAGGTGAGGAATGCGTATATCAAAGCTAGAGACAGCTATGAAAGCAGTGTACTCACAAAAAAGTGGTTGATTACCTTGTGACCAGAAAAGTCTAGAAGGAGAGCATAGCAAAGGAGCACCAAGGCACCAAACATCCCCCACAGATATGAGCCAGCCACCAGCAGGGTACAGAGCCTTTGTGACATGGCCACTGTATAAAACAGAAGATTGCAGATGGCCACAAAGCAGTCATAGGCCATCACTGGCAGCAGGAAGAACTCAGTCACCACTGCAGTGCAAGACAGGAAATACTGGAGCATGCAGCTAAAGTAGAAGATGTTTTTATCTGCCATGACCAAGTTTTCAAGCAGCTTCGGAGTAACGATACAGGAGTAACAAAAATCAACAAAGGAAAGGTGACTAAGGAAAAAGTACATAGGGGTGTGAAATTTGGGGTTAATCTTGATGATTACTATCATCCCAAGATTCCCTACCACAGTGATAATGTACATGATCAGAAACACAAGGAAGAGAGGAATCTGAAGTTCTGGATAATCTGTGAAACCTAAGAGGGCAAAGGTCATTTCCACACTCAGGTTTCTTTCAGCCATCACTACACTTGCTTTGAAGGGAAAGGGCTGGAACGAGAGAGTTGTTCCTGTTAAAAGACAAGATTTATGTGGGTGAATGACAAATACGTTATGATTCATTACAGTAGATAAAAGAAAGTGGGAAGAAACAGTTATTGGAACTCATTTTCTCCATGAAGACCATGCCTCATCCAAATAACTGCTATGTGTATACCAAACCAAGCTGATATCTAAAACACTTATGCATTTCAATTGCCCTTTTGGATATTGGAATATAGGTTTCCATATAAATACTTATAATATTGAGTGTAAAGGAGCTATATTTACACATAACTTAGCTTTTTCCTTGCATGCACACATTAGATAGTAGCATAGAATGCACATAACAGATACTGAGCAAATTTTTGCACACAGACAGTACATAAGCTAGTGAGATTCTGTGGAAAAAAATGTAAAATGTTTGTGTCAGAGAACAAAATATACTGCTGCTGTATTTTGCCTATATACTCAAATCAATGAAAATATTTAAAGGAATACACTTGTATTCCAGGAAGAAAATAAAATACTAGAGAACCTAGGAAGAAAGCAGAGCAATTTCATTAGCACTTTTTATTCTATGAAGGCTAGTACTTTTGGTGAATAGCTTAGTTGCCCAGTAGTTGAGGCTAAGGAGGACAATGACTTCCTTTTGACCTGAGTGGAGTGCCCACTTTATTAGGGTTTATGGCTTAACTTATTACTTAAGGCTCAGCTTCTACTACAACCCGGTCATTACATATACATGAGGAACCCTGGTAGAGTAGAGATGGCACAGTGGTTAAGAGTTCGGCAGCTAACCAAAAGGTTGGCAGTTCAAATCCATCAGCCGCTTCTTGGAAACCCTATAGAAGAGTTCTACTCTGTCCTATGGGGTCTCTATGAGTCCAAATCAACTGAATGGGAAGGGATTCGGTTTTGGTTTGGGTGGAGTAGTGGTTAAAGTGCTCAACTGTTAACCGAAATGTCAGCGATTCAAACCCCCCAGTGCTCCTTGGGAGAAAGATGTGGTAGTCGGCTTCCATAAAGATTTACAGCCTTGGAAACCATATGGGGCAGCTACTCTGTCCTATAGGGTCGCTATGAGTCAGAAACGACTCGATGGCAGCAGATAAATAAATAAATAAATATATACATATACGTTAAAGACAACCATTTCCTCCTAAGTTAAAATATTTGATTTCATTTCTCTTGGGTAAATAAATACTTAGGAAAGAAATTGCTGGTTTGTATATAAAGTATCTGTGTAAGTTCATAAGATATTTCTAAACCGTTTTTCAGATACATTTTACTTGTTACATTTCCATCTGAAGTATATGAATATTCCACCTCCTTTATGCTCACAGGAATATTTGACATTTCCATCCTTTTAAGCCATTCTAATGGATATATAGTGGTATATCATTATGGTTTTAATATGTATTTCAATGATGACTAATTATGTCGAGTATCTTTTCAAGTGTTTATTGGCTGTTTGTATATCTTCTTGTGTCAAGTGTCTGCTCAAATACTTTGTCCATTTATAAGTGGGTTTTTGTCTTCTATTTTGAGTTATAAGTATTCCTTATACATTCTACATGTACCCTTTCTCAAGCACATGTATTGCAGATATTTTCTCACAGTTTGTGGCTGACATTTTGTTTTCTTAGCGGTGTCTTTCAAAGAGCAGATATTTTTAGTGTTGATAAGATTCATTTTATCAACATTTTTACTTATTCTTTTTGTTCCATGTAAATGTTCCTACCTCACGTTTTCAAGAATTATATTTCTGCTATTTTTTTATTTTGGTTAAGTTTTAGCTTTTATCTTTAGATCTGCCATCTATTTATTTTTATTCAAGTTAGCATTTGTGTACAGCATTAGGTGAGATCTAGGGCTAAGTTTTCCATAGGAATATCTCATTGTTCCAACATTATTTTTCTGAAAAAGTAACATTTCTCCATTGAAATTTAAATGGCCAACTATGTGTGAGTCTATTTTTGGACTCTCTGTTCTATTCCATTGACCTATAAGTAACCCTTCACTTTGTTATCAGTCTCACTCTCGATTACTCAAATACTTTCTTTAGAAAAAAATGATAAAATGAATACTAGACAGGCAAAACAATACTTTATTCAATTGTATTTCCTACTTAGCAGGCCATATTTTCTTTTATTTATGAAAATGAACTCTGCTATCCAATATAATAACTATCAAAAGGTTGGCTGGTATACAAGATACAGTAAGCTGAAGCATTTGTTAAAGCCACCTCTAGAGGACAGAATTCCTGATTACAATTCTAGGGGAACATCCTGAATTTGTGCAAATTTGGTGACCTGAGAATTCGATTTACTTTGGTAGTGCGTACAAAATTACACCATAAATGGTAAAATATTTTTTTAAAAATTCACTGTATTGCTACAAATTGTCTGAGAATTTTATTTTATTTTAATTTTTGGTTTATATATGTCATAGAGCTATTTCTCTAAACATTGATGTATGGAAACAACAATCATCATAAAATTGTATGCTACTATAGATGTATTAACTCATAGGCTACTGGGTAAAATACTCTGAATAATACATTATACCACAAGAGTTGAACAACGTTTAACATAATAAATCAAATTATTTTTTGAAAATAAAATACTGAATCTAACAATATCGTGTTGATTGAAAAAGAAGTTTTGTGTTAACTAATTTTCTGCATGTGTTCTTCACATCCTTCTTCCTAAGGCTGTAGATCAGGGGATTCACCATGGGAATCACCACTGTATAAAACACAGAAGTCACTTTAACTATGAGCCAGGAAGTTTTGGGGTTAGGGATACAGAAGAGGAAAAGGATGGTCCCATGGAAGATGGTGATGGCAGTCAGGCGGGAGGCACAGGTGGAGAAGATTTTATGGCGCCCACTTGCAGAGGGCATCTTCACGACAGCGATGAAAATGAATATATAGGAAGTAAAGATGATCATCAGGCTGCTGGCCTCATTGAATATGGCAATTATAAAACACAGCATCTGAGTGATGTAGGGGTCTGAGCAGGAAACAGAAATAATTACAGAGTGGTCACAGACAAAATTATTTATAATGCTAGACTCACAATAGGATAAGTACATGAGTGTCAGACAGCACACTCTACCCCATGTGTAGGACCCAGCCACCAGCAGAACACAAAGCTTCTGAGACATAGTAGTGGCATAGAGCAAGGGGTTACAAACTGCTATAAAATGGTCATAGGCCATCGCTGCTAACATGACTGTTTCTGTCACTCCAAATATGCAAGCAAAACAAAATTGCATGATGCAACCAGAGAAAGCGATAGTTGTCTTCCACAATCAAGTTCTCCAACAGTTTGGGTGTAACTACAGTGGAATAACAGAAATCCACAAAAGACAAGCGACTGAGGAAAAAGTACATGATGGTGTGGAGTTTTGAATTGATCCTGATGATTATTATCATGCCTAGATTACCCACCGCAGTGACCATGTAGATGGACAAGAAAATCAGGAAGAGAGGAACTTGGAGTTCTGGGTATTCTGAAAAACCTAAGAGAATAAATGTGGGTATGATACTTTGATTTCCTTCAGATAACATGATTCCTGTGGGAGAAAAACCAAAAGTTATTCCTGAAAAGTAGAATTGACTAGAGATAAGCAGAGAGAGAAAGGAGGCTTCATGTGGTTCTGTGGCGAGAAATTTGAAACAGTGAGTCTCCAAGTGTGGTCCCCAAATGAGCAGCATCATCATCATCTGGGAAACTGTTATGAATGCAAATTCTCCAGCCCCACTGCCCTCCTCCTAAATAAAAACTCTAGGTTGTGGCTCATAATTTGGGGTGTAATCACGCTTCCAGGTGATTTTGTTCCATTTTAAAGTGTGAAAAACAGTGGTGTCAAAAATATATGGTTATCATTCTATTATTTAAATGCCAGTCCTTGTTAGTACTATTAACAGAAAACTAACATAAATTTAGGGCATACAATTATAGAAACCAGAATCAAGGGTGATATAAAAAAAGCACAAAGAATCTTTATAAATTTTAGAGTTATTTGTTTTTAAATTTTCCACCTTTTTCTTGACATAGTATAGAATTAAATAATGATAGAATTTTTGAGTTGAAATATACCTTAAAATGTATCTAGCCCAACTTTCCACTTCACGTTTGAGATTTCTACACATAATCTTATCCATGAGATGTTCATGTAGCATACATCAATCAAAACCTCCATAAATGGTACACTGCCTCCTGGAATATTTTATGAGGTTTTTATTGATTGTTTTGCTTAACTTTTATTATTAATTAAATTTAATTAATTGAAATTTTATAAACAGTAAAAATTAACTGGTCATTTCTTCTTATATACATGTATACATGTGATATACATACATATATGCACACAGTTTCAAGAAAGCAGATATATCTTATATTCACCAACAATAATTCCATACAAAAAATATTCTACACTGCAAATTACATATTTACTTAACCAATAATAAGTAAGCCCTCCTTTATGATGAGGCATACTTGCCAATGAGAACAGTAACATCACAAAATGACTTTCCCCAAGATATAGACATGAAACTGCAGCAGAAATGCATTGATGATCTGTCCCATTTTTATAGCTTTCCCTGGTACAAGTGCTAGGTCCTGGATTCAGCCCCAGGAGTGCCTAATTTGCACCTACTACAAGTAGCCCGAGACATAGAACATCTGTCATGAGTGTATTCTTCCCAATAACAAGTGAGACTGGGTAGATACATTTTAAAAATCCATTGTTGTTCCCACTATTTTAATAAATAAATTCTCTTTCAAAATTTGAACATAACAACAACAACAAAAAATCCCATTGCCCTCAAGTCGATTCCAACTCATAGTGACCCTATAGGACAGAGTAACACTGCCTGATAGGGTTTCCAAGTAGAGGCTGGCGGATTCAAAACGCTGACTTTTTGGTTAGCAGCCAAGCTCTCAACCACTGTGCCACCAGGGCTCCTATCTGAGCATACAGCATACTTTAATTAGGTGAAACTCTGGCAGGTTAGGGAGATCGCTACTGCTGCTATGACTTTTTGACACACTTATTAAGTCAATAATAAAATGAGACATGGAGAAAGCCTTGATACTGTGCCCCAGCAATTTCAAATAAATCTGTTGAAAACTTATGGATTAGAGTTAGGATTTTACTCAAATTTATACTAGGACAAGGGGAGCTCAAAATCAACAAACATCTCCAAATATTCTATTACTTTTCTCTATTAATTCTCAGTAGTATCACAGCTGCCAGTTTCTGCAACACACGATTTAATTCTCAGGAACATTTCATGCCCTGTTAGTGAAAATTAAAACGTGTCCAACCGTAAAAAGGGATCTATTACATTTTTGAAACTAATCTATATGAGCTGGAGCTCCATATTTTCCACCGTAGTAAAAAATATCAGAAGAGAAGTGAACTGACCTGATACCAGGAGCTTTTGATTAATTAATTTAATGAAGATTTCATTTTATGATTAATGAACTTCAGACATTTTTCTTCTCAGTAATCAAACATTCTTTAAAACACTAACAGACTTGAGATTTGCAGCACAAGTAACACTACATTTAAATGAATGTGCCAGGAAAATGGCGTTTTATTTCCCAGATATAAGAAATATCAGACATTAAAAAGAAGAAAAACGACCTAAAAACACAGTCCAAATCCTCCGAATCTATGGCATTTATATCTGCTGCTATGACTGTAGAGATATAGACCCTAGAGAATTATAATGAAAATATTACTCAAAGATCCACAAACCAAGCAATTAGTTGAAACATTGTCTCTTGTGTCATTGTTTGGATGTATTTTCTTTAAAATCATTAAGGATAATTGCCGAATCTATTCCATTAGGCTTCTTTTAGAAATTGAATTATTAAAATAATTCACATTTACTGAAGAAAACATGAACTACAGAGTTTGAAAAAAGAAGACATATACAAAATAAACAAGAAATAGCTGCCAGTAACTCAGTTGACATTTCAAATTCCACATTCAAGTTTATAGTGGAGAAATCTGGCAAAAACTACCTTAACCAAATTATGAAGATTACCATTATGAGTGTTGCCATGCGATTATCATGCACTCCCTGATATGATGTGATGATAAAGGCACTTCACCTCTGTGATAGTCTTCCCAAAAACTCATAATCCCAACTTAATCACAGAAAACCATCAGACAAACCTAGACTCGTGGACATTGTATAGGATACCCAGCCATTGCTCTTTAAGATTGTCAAAGTCATAAAAAACAAGAAAAAAGTTAGAAACTGTCATAGACCAGATGGGACTGGAAAGACTCTATAACTAAATGCAATGTAATACCCTGGATTGGATCCTGGAACAGAGAGAAGACATTGATGGGAAATCTGGTGAGATTCAAACACAGTCCGGAGTTTCACAATACTAACATTGCAACAATCAACACTTGTGCAAGCAGCACACAAGAAATGAAGTGACATGTTGCATTGGGAAAATCTGTGGCGAAAGACCTCTTTAAAATTTAAAAAGCCAATATGTCACTTTTCTGACTAAGGTGCACCTAACCCAAACAGTTGTATTTTCCATTGCTTCATTTGCATGTGGAAGCTAGACAATGAAAAAGGAAGACCAAAGAAGAACTGACACATTGAAATTGTGGTGCACAATATTGAACATACCATGGACAGCCTGGAAAAACGGACATATCAGTCTTGGAGGAAGTATGGCCAGAATTCTCCTTAGAAGCGAGGATGGTGAGACTTTGTGTTGCTTACTTTGGATACATTATAAAGACGGACTGATGGCTGGAGGACACTATGCTTGGTAGGGGGTTAGTGAAAAAGAGAGAAACCTTTCCTGAGATGGGTTGTCACAGTGTTTGCAACAATGAGCTCAAACATAACAACAATTGTGAAGATGGGGCAGGATGGGGTAAAATTTTGTTCTGCTGTACGTAAGCTGCCTATGAGACAGAGCCCACTCAACATCACCTAACAACAACAAAAAACTGTATTTTGAATACGATTTTACCAAGTACCTGTAGGGAAGTGTTATAATGAGATAGGTAAGGCAGATAATAGAGAATGCATTAATGAAGAGATTATTTTTTGTGAGAAACAGGGCTTCAGTTCCACTAGGGACCTCTGGAAGACTCTATAGAACCAATTTCAGAGTTGTTCCACATAAGGGGTGAGGCAGCTGGAGTAGTCATCCAACAACTACCATCTATTGTTGTTTGAGAGAGATTGCTGGAGGTATTCACAGCCTGGCACTTTCAAGCTCCCTATGTGTGAACAGATGATACTCCTACATCCAGAAAAAAAAAAAAAAAAAAGTCTTCAAGTAGAGATTCATGAGTATTTACAATAAGAAAACATCTGGACAAAGGAAAAATTTAAAAAAGAAAAGTAACAAAATTAATAAATAGCATACATAAAATAGAAGAGTCATCAAACCAAAAAAAAATTGGTTATCTGAGAAAATAAATATAATTTATTAGGCACTCATAAGTTTAATCAAGGGGAAAAAAAAAAAACAAAGAAAGGAGGCAAAAATAACTAATACCACCTATGGAAAATAATTATCCTTGTAGATCCTGCCAATTTTAGAAAGAGATTACTATGAACAATCTTGTACCATTGAATTTGAAAACTCACTTATCATGGATGAATTCCAAGAAATACAACATTTAATAAAACTGATGGAAAAGAAATTGAGATAATAATTTTCTGACCATTATTAAAGAGAGTGAATCTGTAATTAAAAAAAAATACACATGCATTTGAAAACTTCCCTATTCACCAGTGAATTCTAATCTTAAAAATTTTTTTTCTGACTGAATAGAATAAGAAGACAGACTTCCCAGTTTAAGAGGCTAGTATAATTTTGATGCTCAAAACTAACAATGATAGTACGAAAAAAGAAATTACAAAACAATTTCACTCATGAACATTGATTTTAAAATCCTAAATAAAATATTGACCCATTAAAATAATCAATAAATACAAAAGATAATATATTATGTCACATATACATTTTCTCAGAAGAAAATTTGGTTCAATATTTAAAAAATCAAAAAAACTAAGTTGTCTTTTTAAAATATTAAAAGAGCTAAATCACATGGGTCATCTTATAATATGAAAAAAAGTAGCTGACAAAATTTAACATCTACTCATAAACAAAAAGGAAAGAACAAAACAACAAAACACACACACACAAGAGCAGAGGACTTTACTAGTCTGGAAAAAAATGTACAAAAAACCTACAGCAAACCACATTCTTCAATATGAAATATGAAATGCTTTCCCTGTGAAGTCAGGAAGTCAGGGATGAATGCTTTTATCATTTTTCTTCAACATTGTTGTTATTGTTAGATACCAGTGAGTCAGTTCTGACTCATAGTGACCCTATGTACAACAGAACGAAACACTGCTGGGCCCTGTGCCATCCTCACCATCCTTGTTATGCTTCAGCTCATTGTCGCAGCCACTGTGTCAATCCGTCTCACTGAGAGTCTTCCCCTTTTTCCCTGACCTTCTACTTTACTAAGCATGAAGTCCTTCTCCAGGGATTGGTCTCTCCT